GGTGAACGATCGTCGCTAACCTATTGATTCAGGGAATACCTAGGCTAACGGCATCAAGAACGAACTCACACAAGGGAATCCGAGCTTGGAAGAGAGCGGCGGCGCTCTGCTATATTATTATTCTCAAAAACTAACTCCCCTCTTTTTGTTTAAGCCAACAATATATAGTACTAGAATAGAGAAACCCTACACACAAGAGTCCCACATAAAACTCGTAAACAAACAAATAAACAGTGCAAGTAAAAAATGCCAGCCGACGTCGCATGCATGGGTCGCCTCTTCACATATGCCTGCCGCTACGTACGTCCGACACCACCACTGCATCATCCTCTCCTGGGTGAACAGAATTCGCCCTCGAATTGTTGTCGTCCGATTCATCACCAGCAAATGGAACGAGGTGTTTGACGTTGAAGACATCAGTTGTACGAATATGGCTGGGGAGCTTCAGACGGTAAGCATTGGGATTGATCTTCTCGATGATCTCAACAGGTCCGATCTTCCTAGCTGATAGCTTGTTGTAATCGCTTGCAGAAAACCGATCCTTGGTAAGGACAGCCCATACATAATCACCCACCTCAAACTCCACATGCCGACGCTTCTTATCGACCGCTTCTTTGTACGTGCGGGAAGCCTTCTCCAAGTTGCTTCGCACAGCCTGGTGGACCTCCTGCAGATTATGAACAAAGTCCTTAGCCCGGCCATGGATTCGAGTCTTGTCGGGCAAAGCGGCCAAATCCAGCAGTCCTCTCGGAATGCTCGAATATACCACCTGAAAGGGACTAAAACCTGTACTTCTGTTAACAGCATGATTATGTGCAAATTCAGCTTGGCATAACTTCAAATCCCAACTTTTCACGTTCTCTCCCACCAAACTCCGCAGCAAATTGCCCAAGGAACGATTCACGGTTTCGGTCTGTCCGTCCGTCTGTGGATGATAGGCACTACTGAAGTTCAACGCAGTATTAACCACCTTCCACAGACTGCGCCAAAAATGGCTGAGGAACCTGGTATCCCTATTAGAAACGATGGATGTAGGCAAGCCATGCAACCGATATACCTCTCGAAAATACAACTGGGCCATGCGAACAGCATCAGTGGTCTTCTTGCAAGGGATAAAATGCACCATCTTTGAGAACCTGTCAACAACCACGTAAATAGAATCATTACCCCTTTGGGTTCGGGGCAAACCCAACACGAAATCCATACTAACATCCGTCCACGGCTGTGACGGGATTGGTAATGGCATGTATAAACCCGCATTGGTGGCGGTTCCCTTCGACACTTGACATACACGACAACGTTGAACCAATCGATGAACTTCTCTGCGCATGGTCGGCCAGAAGTAATTAGCCTGTATGAGCTGCAATGTTCTATCTCGTCCCACATGGCCCTCTCCATGCAATTCTTGAATTATCAAGGTGCGCAGACTGCTATCTGGGACACATAATTGGTTACCCTTAAATAGGAATCCATCTTGCAACAAATACTCTGTTCGCTGACCAGCCCTTACCTTGGCGAGTATAGGTGAAAAGAAAGGATCATCCTCAAGTAAGCTAGCGAAAGCACCGAATCCGGGTACCTGAACTGCCATCCTTCCCAACAAACTCCTTCGGCGGCTAAGTGCATCTGCCACCCGGTTAGTGACCCCGCTTGTGTGTTTCACCACGAACGTAAAGCGCTCTAAATAAGCCACCCACGAGGCGTGTCGTGCCGACACCTTGTCTTGTCCATGTAAGTGTTTGAGAGCTTCATGGTCGGTATATAAGATAAACTCACGATGGAACAAATAATGACGCCAATGCTTCACGGCTTGCACAACAGCATAGAATTCCACATCATAAGTGCTATACCTCAGCTTCGCCCCGGTCAGTTTTTCACTAAAGTAGGCGATAGGCCGACGATTTTGGCTTAAGACAGCGCCAATTCCGACCTTCGAAGCATCCGAGTGCAGCTCAAAAGGCTGATGGAAGTCAGGGAGCACTAAGATCGGAGCCGTCGTCAACCTTTCTTTAATGCTCTCAAATGCCGCCTCTGCCTCGCTCGTCCATGTGAACTGATTACTCCTCATACAGTCTGTAATTGGCGCCATGAGACTGCTAAAATGGGGTATAAAGCGCCGATAGAACGAGGCAAGTCCATGGAAGCTGCGAACCTCGGTCAATGTTCTGGGTCTTGGCCATTGTTGCACTGCCTGTACCTTAGATTTATCTACCTGTAGACCTTCAGCTGAGATAATATAGCCCAAAAAAAGTACTTCTGAGGACATGAAGACACACTTTTTTAGCGCAGCATATAACTTCTCCCGCCGCAGTATGACCAAGACCTCTCGCAAGTGCTGGAGGTGTTGTTCCGCAGTATATAAGAATGTCATCGAAGTAAACCACAACGCACTTACCAATAAACGGCCGCAACACCTGATTCATCACACGCATAAAGGTGCTGGGTGCGTTTGACAAACCGAAGGGCATAACCAGCCACTCGAACAACCCTTCGCGTGTCTTAAATGCGGTCTTCCACTCATCCCCCACCCGAATTCTAATTTGGTGGTAGCCACTCTTTAAATCAAGTTTGGAAAACACACGAGCGCCACTTAGTTGGTCAAGTAAATCATCCAGCCGGGGAATAGGGAAGCGATACCGGACAGTGATCTTATTAATAGCCCGACTATCGATGCACATATGCCACGAACCGTCTTTTTTTGGCGTTAATAAAGCTGGAACCGCGCAGGGGCTCAGGCTTTCTCGAACAAAGCCTTTAGACAGCAACTCCTCCACCTGTCTCCGCAACTCCTCATGCTCAGCAGGGCTCATCCGGTAATGGGGCCGATTTGGGAGCGCCGCTCCCGGCTCAAGATCGATATGGTGTTGGATGTCCCTCAAGGGAGGCAACCCGTTGGGTAGATCATCTGGGAATAAGTCTTGGAATTCCTGCACAATAGTGACGGCGGCGTCAGGCATTGCCTCCTCTGCAAAAACTTCCTTGCCTACTAGCGCATACACCATCTCAGTTTCGAGAACTTCTTCCTCAAAGCGAGCTAATGAAAGGATCTTAGTACTTGACCCTTGACTTGCTTTTGGTGATGCCGAGGGGTCTTTGTTGGGAACCAGAACAATCTTCACTCCCTCATATAGGAAGCTATATGTGTTTGCTCGTCCATCATGGTGAACACTCCTATCAAACTGCCACGGCCTACCCAACAACATGTGACAGGCATCCATCGTAACGACGTCGCACCAAACAACATCCTTATATTTTGATCCGACGAAGAACGTAATCAACGCCCGCTTGGACACAGTCACCTCACCTCCCTTCTTCAACCATGCCAGCTTGTACGGTTTAGGATGACCCTCGACCTCTACTCCTAACTTCTGCACAGCTTCTGTCGAAACTATGTTCTCACAACTCCCAGAGTCAATCATAAATCGGCAGACCTTACCCAAGATTGTACAAGTGGATTGAAAAATGTTGCTTCTCAGCCAATCCTCTTCTGATGCACGAGGAGTCACACATGACCGCCTCACCACCAAATTCACATCGCCGTCTCCTGTCACCAACTCCTCCTCTTCATCGAACACTGGTTGACCATCCCCAAAGGCTTCAAACACAATGTTGTCATTCGCCTCGTCTGAAAACATTACCTTCCTCGCCGGCTGCCTACAATCCGATTGGCGATGACCGTGCTCCCCGCATCGGAAGCACTTTAGACCGCTGCTACTGGCCCCACCTGATCCCATCTTGGTTGGTTTTCCTGTAACGTCATTGCTCAAGTTGCCACCACCACTCGTGCGCGGAAAGCCACTACTACCACCCGTAGCTATGCCTCCACTACCGTACCCTCCAGTTAGCCTTTTCTGTTGTTTTTCAATAATGACGGACCTTTGGTGAGCGGCGGACACACTAACAGGATCGAATAAATTAACTGTGTCCTGTATCTGAACTCTTAACCCACCGATATATCGCGCCACCAATTGATCCTCCGTTTCCTGAACTTCATTCCTAGCGATCAGCTGGTAGAATTCATTGGTATAGTCATCCACTGACCTACTGCCCTGCCGCAGGTTTTGAAGGCGCTGGTACATAACCCGCTGAAAATTATACGACAAGAACTGAGCGCGCATGGCCTTTTTCATCTTCTCCCATGAGGAGATTTTTGCCTTGCCCAACCTTTCACGAGTCAACTTTGTTTGCTGCCACCACGCCGTAGCCCTTCCCCGCAATCGGGTCGCTACCAACTTCACCCGCTTGTCTTCAGGGACTTCCTTAAAATCCGGAACTTCTTCCACCGTAGCTAGCCAATCGAGAAACTCCTCCGGCTGCAAGCCGCCTTGGAATTCAGGAATATCGACTCTCATTCCCGCCTCCCAACGACGTTGATCTACTTCTTGTCGCGGTCTTCTCGCTTCCTCGGCAAATCCTCCCTCACTCCCCGTAAACGATTCATCTTCCTCTCCATCCACGTCGTGCACTTGGTTACGGGCTATGGCGTTCTGCTGGTTCACCATCAACAACTCCATCCTCTCCGCCAATCGTTCAATTGTTTCCTCCATTCGACCCATCCGCTGAACCATATCATCACGCTCGTAGACTTCTTCCAAGCGACGCTGATTCTGCTGTCGGCGGGGCGGCATGGCTACTCCAAGAACGAACCAGGCTCTGATACCAAACTGACGCAGCGAATACGACGATAGAAATCGCAAACCCGTTGATTTGACGAATACCGGGTGAACGATCGTCGCTAACCTATTGATTCAGGGAATACCTAGGCTAACGGCATCAAGAACGAACTCACACAAGGGAATCCGAGCTTGGAAGAGAGCGGCGGCGCTCTGCTATATTATTATTCTCAAAAACTAACTCCCCTCTTTTTGTTTAAGCCAACAATATATAGTACTAGAATAGAGAAACCCTACACACAAGAGTCCCACATAAAACCCGTAAACAAACAAATAAACAGTGCAAGTAAAAAATGCCAGCCGACGTCGCATGCATGGGTCGCCTCTTCACATATGCCTGCCGCTACGTACGTCCAACACCACCACTGCATCAGCTACACATGTGACTGTTCCAGTATGTGTAGCTTGAACATGATCTACTGTTGGAAGAGTTATGGGAATGTTGGAAACCTGTCTAGGATTCACAAGATAGTTGAGTGAACAAACAATGTGATCCGAGGCACCAGTATCAAGGATCCAAGCATGCCTAGGTGATTGGTTTTGAGCACTTAGAGTATATGTACCTGGATTCTGTTGGATCCATGTTGCACCTGAGAATGATGGAGTTGGATTCTGCTGTGGTTTGCCACCTGTGTCCTTGTCCCTCATGAGAATCATTAGTTTCTCATAATCAGCTCTGCTGATTTTGATCTCCTCTTGATCAGGAGCAGCTGAGGTGGCATTGGCAGATGCTTTGCCCTTATATCCACCATTCCTTGGTGGATATCCATTCTTCTGGAAACACTTGTCCTCAGTGTGGCCTTGCTTCTTACAATAGGTGCATTGGACTGGATTTCCTATGGAGCTTCCTGATCTGGTGTTGCTCATCCCAGGTGGCTATCCATGCTTGTGATAGCATGTGTCTTCTATTTGCCCTGAAAACTTGCATTAGGTACAGAATGGCCTTGGCCTCCTTCCTTGATAATTGTTGTTTCCTTGTGCAGCAAAAGCCATGCCCTCAGTGGCTAGATTCTTTGCTGGTTGAGTTCCATATTGTTGTCTCTCATGCTGTAACATTCTTTGAAAAACTCGATCTATTGATGGTAAAGCTTCACCAAATAGAACTTGTGACCTTACTCCAGAAAAATTATCATTCAGGCCTCTCAAAAACTGAATCACATAGTTAGTATCCCTGTATGTTTGGACCAGCAACATGGCTCTACAGGTGGTGTGGCTAGTTGTGGTACAAGCACAGGGTTCCAGTGGCTGATAATTATCTAGCTCATCTCTTAGAGCTATGAGGTTCCCATAGTACTCAGTAACAGATTGATTACCTTGCTTGAGATTGCAGATGGATTCGATCAGCTCTGCAATCCTCACCATGTCTCCCTGTCCATATCTGTCTCTGAGACTTCTCCATGCTTCAACTACTGTTTTGCAGGACATGATGGTCTTTCTTATCCCAGGATCTACTGCCTGTTGGATCCAAGAAAGAACCATTATGTTGTTTCTGTTCCAGGCCCAGGCATTGGGACTTCCTTGACCTGGATCTGGAATGGAGCCATCCACAAAGCCAAGCTTGTTTTTTGCACCCAAGGCATTGTGAACAGCTTTGCTCCAATCATTGTAGTTTGTTGGTGTTAGCTTCTCTGCAACGAGCTGGAGTCCTGGATGCTCCGAACCATGAAGGTAAAATGGATCAGACATTGGATCTACAGCTGCTGGTGCTGCATTAGCAACTTGGTTTGCCATGGTTGCTGCTGGCGGCTGCTAGGGTTTAGCAACCAGGCTCTGATACCATAACAACCTTTTAGGGTTGAGGATCAGAAGGCTTAGTTCATTTCATTTCTCTCACAGCGTATATTGCTGCGTAGTTCTCTTACAGACAGATTGGAAGAAGAAGACAAAGCTTGGGTCCTAAGCAAGTACAACTCAGAAATGGAAAGAAATAGAAACAACAAGTTTAGGGAGCTATTGGTAATTTGCCAGAAACGACATCACTCCAGCTTCTCGGTTGTGGTCTCGGCGAAACGGCGTCGTCCGGTTTAGTGAGAGTGCATCTTGTCACAACGACAGCGTTTGGATCAGTCACAGCGGCTCTGGGTACAACGGCAACGTTTGATGCAACGGTCGTCTTCTCCGATTGCGCTGGATTCAAATTTGAGGAAAAACTGATTGTTCTCCCTGATACTTGGGAAGAAATCATCCGCCAAAAGCCAAGATCACCACCACACTCCCGCTGCTACTCTTCCTTCTCCTCAATCTGCTCTCCTCCGCCACCGGTGTCGACGAAGGCAACACCAACGCGGACTACATCCACTCGAAGTACAACTCCATGCTGTACCCGGAAGTCTGCCGGACTACCTCCTTCATTGCCAATGTCTCCAGCCTCACTGACAATGGATCCGACCGCCGCGCCGCCTCCGCCCTCCACTACTGTCTCTCCAACTTCGGCGACGCTGTGGAGGAGATACGCAGCTTCATGAAGCAGATGTGCAGCTGGGTGCCGTGAGGACGACGTTGGAGGAGGCTAATCGAGCTCTAGGTTCTTCGATTAATTGCCTGGGTTCTTCAATTTCAGGTTTCTTCTTCGATTGCATATGGGTTTTGGGTTTCAACCAACGGCGACAATTTATGGTTGCATATTGAAGGACTGAGGAAATTAGGGTTCCTCCTGCCGGCGAGATTTGGAGCTCCCATTGTTGTTGAAGTGGATTTGGTGCGCTGCACTTGCCGGAGCAGGGATGAAGAGATGAAGGAGCCAGATCCTAGTGGCACGAAGGGCGAAGCACTTGCCGGAGAAAGGATTGGGGCGGGTCACGGGTAGGGTTTTGTTGGGTCATGGGTTCGGATATGGTTTGGGTTATTGTTTAATGACGTGTCGGGTTTTTGATGATGTGTCGGGTCGGGTATAGTGTTTTTCGGGTTAAATCCAGATGATTAGACGATTCTGTTTGCCACATCAGCACTTAACGGACTCAATTAACGGAGTTGGATGGAGACTAACGGAAAGTGACCCAACGTGAACGGTTTCAGTAAACTAAAGTACCACTAATGGATTTAAATATTTCGAGTGACCAAACTTGAACGTATTTTGTAATTTCAGTGACCAATCATGCAATTAGGTTCTCTCTTCACAGATCTTTCCTTGTCAATCAGCTTTTTTTTGGAGGGGGGCTGGACAATTCATGACAATATTATTATGGTACATGAGTTAGTCCACAACTATCATATGTCCTCTAGAAAACCAAATTGCTATATGAAAGTTGACTTGAAAAAGGCTTATAACTCACTACCGAAAAACATGTAAATGTTCCTTCGCAGCTGCTTCCATTCCAAGTTCCAAATTATAGTTTTTACTACTTTCACTTAACTTCTTTCGCCCGCCGGATGGGAATGGGAAAGTTTTCACGGCGGACTTTCCCTGAACATAAATGGACCCAACTAATAATAGTCCTATAGCGGGTTAAGAATTTGACATCCAAGGGCCAATCCCATTCATATAACTAAAAATGAAAAATCAATTCCTATATATGTCCTAATAATCAATTAGGATTTTGCTACGGTGACATGCATGTCACCGTGACATGGACTTTTCGGTCGACCTAATCTTAAAGGTGGTCGACCGAATTGACTAATTTGGGCAGCACAAGAAAGCATTGCGGCCGACCTAATCCTAAAGACGGTCGACCTCAATTCATAGCATAATTGATGAGTCCTTGTTATCATTATTTATGACTAGTTATGATGGTTTAAAGCATAATTTATACAAGCAAAAGAACCACACAAATTGACATACATAAGCAAAAAAGACACGGGGCATAGGTTGACTTTCTTGTATTCAGTCGACCTCGTACAAGATTAGGTCGACCTCGACACCAACACTTGATCTTCATTTTACGTCAAATGATTGGATAAATTGATAGAACATTTATCGTCTATCTGGTCGACCTCTTTCTTTATCTGGTCGACCATGTTGTTAATGACTGCCATCAAGTGGTCGACCTATATACCTTTACGGTCGACCATGTTGTTTCTGACGCCAACGAAATGGCCGACCGAGGTTTATTCTGGTCAACCAAAAATAACAACTTAAGCTAAGAACGGTCGACCAGGAGGTCTTTGAGGTCGACCGCGATGCTTTCTCGTGCTGTCCAAATTAGTCAATTCGGTCGACCGCCTTCAGGATTAGATCGACCGAAAAGTCCATGTCACGGTGACATGCATGTCATAGTAGGCATACCCAATCAATTATTGTCCGTAAAAAAATGAAGACTACAAGACTGGACTATAGGTTAGAGACTCGGAAAATATCAACAGGCAACTTGTGGTGTGTGCATGTTTGATGTTACCTTATGACCTGGCTTGGCTGGCATGAATGCATGTTGCTTTTTCATCAGTCAATTGTGCCAATTTAATTGTTTGGGTGTACGTATCTGAAAATTGAAGGGGCCAAAAAAAATATCAGTATCTGCATAAGCTTTGATATTTCTTGGGTCAGAAGTGACTACACTTATTGTTGTTAAGATTAAAGAATCATATGTTTTGCTCCGATGTTAGCACGAGTTGAGAGTGGTAGATCATTTTAGGTCCTAAACATGTGCCGACGAAAGAGGAAAATTAGGAGTTTATAGGAGCTTATATAATGTAATTAGAGATGGCCACTCGAGTTTTTAAAGTGTGATTGAAACCGATCAATTCATAAAAATCCAAATAGTCATGGATGAATGAGCTATAGCTCATAGGTCCACATATCATATCCCCTACTTGTACAAACAGTGCTGACTAATGAGTGCGTTACGGGTCACTTGACTAACAACACTTATTTTTGTAATCGATTATGAGTTAGTATTTTAAATCATTTGTATATAGATTAATTTAGAATCTAAATTTTAGATGGCGAAAACTACTCAACGTGCTGAGCAACACAGGTAAAATCGTGGGCTGGCACCAATGAAGTTAAATACACAGCAGCAATGGGCCATGTGGAAATTGGAAAGAAACTTGTTGAATTTTTGCCGGTTGACTAATTGGGCCGAGGGGAAGTCCTAAGAAACAATTGGCCCAGCAGAAAGATCGTATTGTTTGAGCCCATGTAATGTGTTTCAATTGGGCTTGGAGAAAGGAGGAAAGAAAGAAGGCAACAGATCAAAATCCCCCAGTTTTCAACTTCTTCATTGTGTATTCATTCGTCGATTGGAGGACAAACTTCAGTGGAAAAGTTGCAGCAATGGAAGCACCAGGATCATCGAAGCCCATGATCGCAACGCAGGCGGAGATGGTGGAAGCGAGAGTCCCCATGGCTTACAGAGACCAGTGCGCCCACCTTCTCATCCCGCTCAACAAGTGCCGCCAGGCCGAGTTCTATTTGCCCTGGAAGTGCGAGAACGAGCGTCATTCCTACGAGAAGTGCGAGTACGAGCTTGTGATGGAGAGGATGCTCCAGATGCAGAAGATCCGCGAACAGGAGGCCAATTTGAAACAGCCAAACAAAGGAGGTGTTGCTATCGGTCTCATCCCCAAGACTGCCAATGCCTAGACCCAACAATCCTGGTAATCTTCTTCGATCAATTCAACTTCTTTCATGCCTCTCTTTTCCTTCAATTCGGGTTGGGAGATCTCTCATTTGCTAATGCGCTTTTCAGGAAGTTGCTAGAATTTTATCGAGGTGGTGGTTGTGTTCCGTGTTCTCTTGTATTAGGTCCCTTTTTCCCTTTGTTTCTTCTGGTCCTTCTGCTGGGAATGCTCGTAGTTTCCACCGAGGAGTCATTTTTTGTTGATAATTTTCGGTTAATAAGACTTGGGTTTAGTGACTTGCAGACTCAGTTCTTGATAGACTTGGTATTTTTCCTGAATGGTGGATTCAGTTTTTAATTCTGTTGGGCGATGGTCAGATTGTATATTTCCTTCTCAGAATTTGCTTGAGAATGGCACTATGGCTCTCGTTTATGAACCTTGTGAGTTAGTTTCCTCTAGGTTTTTCAAGTTATAATACAAGTTATAGTAGAGAATGTGTTTGAAGAACTTACTGCTGGCATGAGGATTTGCATGCTTCCTTTAGGCAGGTTTTTATCAGGTTTGGACAGTCGAGAAATTTGTGTTCACTATCAGTAGTTTTGTGAGATTCAGAGGTTTTTAGCAATTGCTTTACGCAAGTTTGGTATATGAAGGCCATAAGCTGTAGAACCTCATTGTTGTTGGGTTAAGATCAAATTGAGAAAATATAGAGTTGATTAAAAGCAATTCCTCTTGCTGAGTTCCAGAAAGACAACCCTTACTGAACTTAAATTTCCACGTAAACTAAGGAATGGATGTTGAGAGGAGGATGCAAGGTCTTTTACATTGATACCTTAAGCCTCTTCCTTCAGGGTAGACTGATCCACTTGTCTGGGATAAGCATATAAAGGTAGCTGTTGATAAGCGGAGGTATCTGCTTCTTTTTCCATACAAGAGGATTTGTTCTGCCATAAAAGCGAGCAGCTTTTTGTTCAATAATTACTCACGTCAAATTAGAACCAGGCGTCAAAGCAATGCTACAGAAAACTAACCCGTTCCTTAGTGTTGCCATTCTCACTGGGATAGCAGTGGTAGGACATGCTGCTACAGCCTACTGATAATGGTCTCTTGCTTGTATGTCTCGTTGGTTTTAAACAATTTTGTGAACTCTTGCATTTTGAGTATTAAGTAACCCGAGTAACATTATATTTATATCCAAGTGTTCCCACTAGGTTATACCAACCGTTAAGATATTGAATCTTGATTTTTACTTTGAGCAAGAAACACTTTAGATGGATTTCATAGTCAGTGTACTCTAGAATGTGGACTACAGTGGATCAATGTCTTCCTTGGTTATTGTCTCTTATGGGGATGGTTTTCATAGTCAGTGTACTCTAGAATTTAGACTACAGCTGGTCAATGTCTTCCTTGGTTATTGTTTTTTATGGCTGTGTTCTTTGCCCGATTTATCCATGGCTTTCAAATGGACTTTTGGGAATACCCTTTCACTGGCTTCACCTTGATATGTGTATGTATACCGTGTTCTATATCCATTCCTTGACCTCGATTAGCTAGTGATGGATCAATAGAGTCTTAATTTCCATCCTCTTCTTTATGGACATTGCATCCACTTTAACTTAGCTCGCTGCTAACTTCAACAGATGAAAACTTGGGCTCTAACTAAGGACAATTTAAAACTTTAGTATTTGTTCCCCATCATCCTGTTTCTTCTTTGTCACTCAGCTGGTAGCTCTATAATGTTTACTACAAAACTTTGCAGTCTGTTTCAATTCACATTGAGTACAAATGTTTGCATTATCCATTGCAAAATCTTTCTCCTTGGTCATGGAACTGAACTGCCTGAAGTTTGGGAAAGCACTAAGTTGGATTGCATTTTAATGAAGAAATGCAGTTGCTGTTCATGATCGAGGTGGTAATAATAACTCTGGAGTAACCCTCTTTTTTGCTTATGGCTCCCTAAATTTGATTTGCTCTATAAGGCAACTGCTTATAGTATTTTTTTTTTGCAATTGCAACTGCTTTTAGCTGAAGAATTACTGCATTCGCAGTCAAACACACACATTATATATCCTTCATGAATTAGAAGGGGTGTCACGTTGATATAAGCCTTGTGCACGTTGATATAATACGCATAGTAGTGATTGAAGCCCTACTGCTGGTTATAAAGTTGTGTTTTTTTTTCATTTGCGGTGTGGGAAGCCTGACTGGTAATTTGTGTCTGTTTTTTTCTTCTTCTTTTAACCAGGCAAGTACGTGAAGTTGAAGGTGGCTGACGAGATCCTAATTTGGCCCATCATTCTATTTTGGTTTTCGTTTGGTTGTTAAGGATGATGTCGATGAACCCAAAGAAGATAGAACTCTTAGTTTTCACTCTGTTGTGAACCATTTGTTGTTTGAGAATAAAGTCCTCCAGGCTAGGCTACTGATCTGACTGTTGTGGCTTGCTTGTTTGTTCTCGACCATTCCTTTCTTTTTTCTAGTTTCGAACACTTTTGAAAATTTTCATTGAAAGTTCATGTATTTGCCATTAAGACATACTTATAAGAGAAGAAAAGGATGGCTGAAAGACGTATAACTACCACTGACCATAGAGTTACTGATCTGCTCCCGTCAATTCCATCCCTTTCAACTTTCGCCAGGTATTTTAACCTTCCAAATAGTTTTGCATTCTAATCAACTAGCTTTGTTCCTAGCCAACCATTATTAATCATTTACAGTCACGATTAAATTATAATCATTTACCGGTTCTATCGATAAAGTGAAAAGATCATGAATCATAGATAACATAATAAACACGTTTGATTACATGATAGCCTTAATCTTATTATAATAATTAACATAACTAATGGAGTTCATTTTATAAGTTTTCGATCAATATAATAAAAAATCTTATTGATTAGAATCTTTACATTAAACTTGCATGTTGTGTGTTCTAATCCTAGTAACGATCATTTATATTTTTGTTTATTTTTTAATCAGTGCTGAGTTAAAAAAAATTTAAATCATAATAGTGACGCGAAAAATCAATGCTGATGTGGATGCATGAGAAAATGTATATTATATTGTGTTGGTAATTTTTAACATCCACAATAAAATATTCAACAACACTCACCTGACACTGGTTAAACACCGTAATAAATCAATAAAAATGGAAAAATATGCTAAATTAGTTGTAAATTGTAATTGATATTTGCATAAAAATAATATAACCATTGGCGCACCCCTTCTTTATCCCTATATTTTTGGCTAAACATGTATTAAAATTTAAAATGTAGGAGAAGAAAATAAAGGATAATTACAGAGAAAAAAAATGGAGGGAGGGACGGTTACTATTGTCTGAACTGTTGTTGTCTTTGAGAGGATCTTAAAAGAAACGGAAGTAATTCTGTCATTTAGTGGGACTGACCATAATAAAAGCCTTCACGTCAATGCAATTGCAAAAGCATTGCCATTTTTTTTTTTTTCAATCCACCTCAAATCACTTTCATTCACTTACATCAATAAAATTAACTTGTAATTGCAAATGTAATTAAATATTATATTTAAATTATAAAAATAAAGTAAAGGATAAAATAAAAAATATCCATTTTTTGGCCTTTTGGACTTGCATATGCATTTGTTGCAAACTTGCAAATATGCAATTGGTAGTGGCATCAATGCAATTGGTTTTTCAATTGCAAACACGCATGTCATGTCATCTTGCAATTCAGAATGCAATACCAAAGTGGATGTTCTTATAGTGTAAGGCTAATGTGGCAGGAGTCAAAATCTCAAACGCTTTTGATATTTTTATAGATAGATAGATAGATATATAGAGATATACACTATCTAATATGTTAATGGATGCTATGAGTATGAGGTCTATTTATACTTGGATTTCTTAAAAAAAAAAGAGTTAACTTGGACAAATTACTTTTTTCTTATAAGAATGATATAAGTTTTACATTTTTGGTTAGGTATTATTTAAGCGATTCAAATTCGAGACCTCCAGATTAAAATTTAAAAACTAGTTGTATTACTACTAAATCGAACCCTTATTCGTATTTGGGCAGATTATTATTCAAGGTAAATTTTCCTGACCATTAATGTTCACCTAGAAGACTCTCACCCTGACCTACAAATAATAGAGAACATATTTGTTAACTTTAGTGATAATATAGAGGTTGAAACAAAAATTTATACTCGCCTTGAGATATGTTTTACTTCATAATTTATATATGTACAATGCTCAAAATTGGTATATTGTACACGTTTTTGGCATGTGATCAATGACCCATTGTAAATTTTCTACGAGTTTGGTCAACATCAACTCGATATATATATATATATATATATATATATATATATATATATATATATATATATATATATATATATATATATGCAAGTTAAAAGCATTCTCTAACTGGCACCTTTTTAACTTTGGAGTCTACAATATTCATGTCTCCTAGATGTATTCCATTCATAAGTTAGTTACTCTATATTGTAATTGTGTATATCAATAGGTAGAAAATAGACTAGTCGGTAAGGCATTAACCCTCACTCTCCAACTACTCCAGTTCAAATTAGTCCCTCCTCATTCGAATTCCTGACTTTGCACTGCTTAAACAAATAATTACTCATATCTCGTGACAAAAGTTTCTTCGTATAGTGATAACTATTAGTTCGCTCCAATAACTTGTTTTATTGAGACAAGTAGAATGAGCTTTATTCAAGTTCACTCAAAAGAGAACCAACTCATGGATAAGAAACTTACACTGTCCATCATTTACCATTTAATTAAATTCATCAATAAACATTGCAAGTCATCTGAATTCGTACATATATCTGTTGATCACAAATTCTCAAACCATGAAAAAAAAAACTAATTAACTAGTTCCAATACCTTGGATTATTAAAATTTCCTTTTGAATTTGTGGAGAATGTTAGTTTAGGCAATGAGTGGTTGAATTGATTGGCAACAAAATCAAAGCCCTTCAACCTTTTCCTTTCCTTTTGGTGTGTTTTAGAAATGTGGTCATGTTGTTATGCGTCCCTCAACAAGAGGGAAAGAAGACAAATCAAGCTGAAACTTCCATGTGGTTAATTGAGAGGGTTAATTAGGCAGCTATCTAGATTTGATCTTATGATGTGCATGCACGTAATTTTGGGTTGGCCCATGGGTCAACAAAGGCAAAACGCACAATTATTCAACACTTTTACCTAATTCCCCCAATTTCTCTTTAGAATTAGACAGGGTAATATTTCTACGTTGATGGGACCATGCATGGACAAAATTTTCAATCATTACTCTGTTCCCTCGACCCTTTTTGTAAGAAGGATAATTTTCATTGCACGATGAATGATTGGTTACAAAGAGGAAAAGAAGGAGTAAACTGAATCCAAAACAAGCGTACAATGTCCAACAACAAACGATTGAAACACAAACCGTTCCCTCTACTTATGAGCATCATTCTAGCTGTGAAAAGAATTCATGATCTCCACTACTACTCATATAAAATTATTCTTCTATGCAAGGGTCGCGATCGACTTAGAAATATTAGATATGAGTTGACAACAGTACGTAATCAGCTGATTAATGTTTTCGGCGGGTTACTATTGCAATCATGCATGAAGTTGCGGCTTTATCCTCTCCCTAAATTTGTACCTCCAGATCACGAGAAATCGTTCAAGCCTCATCAAAGCTTAGCTCGTTCGCACAACCTCTGTCCATAATATAAGCCGACTTTATTATGGACCTCAAAACCAATTTTGCTATGCATGAAAGTGAAAGTGAGTGTAGAGTGTTGAACTGTTGATGCCAAAGCCATGAAAAGGAAAGAAGGTGATTAATTAGTATTTGATTAGCACATGAAGTAATATATATATTGAATGCAATGTAACCATGCTTTAGTTATTGATATTTAGGTAAAAGACTTGTCCTTCCTCTTGTTTCACGTCCTAGGTTGGATATTCCATATTCCTAGTTTTAGTTTGTTCTTACTTTTGCCGTTTTGCGCTCTCCCCATGAAAAACCCCGCTATTTTCGTAGTCCTCCATGGATTCTTTTATACCAATTCCCTAAGTTCACAAACCCTAATCCCGTGCAATGGCCAAATTCGTCCTCTTGATGGAATGTGCACATCTTAGCTAGACAAAAGAAATATGGTCCAATAGCGACTTTGTTTCCCGGATTAATTCAAGCTCAACTCCTCGGTCGAATCCACAAGTCTGGCCCAGTGGGGAGGTTTAGGGCAAGAGACTTTTCTGTTGTTCGTTGTGTGGAGGTTTTGGTTGTTCGTTTTCACGGTGTCCTCAAGGAGTGAAAAAAGGCAGTGAAAGTTAAGGAGTGAATGGTTGTGTTCCATATTCTAAATGTCTATTCTTGGCACAATCATGAGATCAACTGGGAGGGAGCGAAAGTATTTGAGCAAGTTATTATAATCAAATTGAAAATTCAGACAAATCTATATTGAAAGAGAAATACGTTAAAACGAAACTCATTTAATTCATTTTTCATACAACATGGAATCGAGCCCGTTAATCAATGTAAAAAGGAAGGAGACACATAAACTGGATTTTTTAACCCAAAATGCGAAAGTCGGTCTTTAAATCTAAGAAGTCCGAGTAGTTTATTTAATGGGTTAGGGCGCTCCTAGCACCCGTTTTTCAAAAAAAAAAAAATGTTGCAATGTACATAAATCCCACATATGAAAAGATGGCTGCCGCCGGACGGTGAAGGAGTCTTCGATTCCGCCTTTTGAGGAAGTCGCAACTAAAATTGCGCATCGTGAAAGGAATCCAACCCTTGAAAATTAATAAAATTAAAATAAGGTAATGTCTATTTTCTATCCAAATCTTTTTCGGATTCTTTTATATTATTCAAATCTATTAAAATGTTATTAATTAGCCAAATTTTATATAATGTATCAAAATATTAGCAATTTTTACTTTATCGTTAATAATTTATAACTCTTTTCTTAGTTAAAATACTAAAATTTTGGAATGTTGACCTTCATGTGTCTCTTTCAAGTCAGTATCATGTTGCCAAGTCAATATTACTAATAAAATTGCTACCTGAAAGTTAACATTTGACTAATTCTTAAGGGTCGTTTGATTTTGGTGATAATTTGTTTGGGATAGTTACAATGCATGCAATGTCCACAAACAGTGGCGGACCATGAATTACATCAAGGGTATTCAATTATGTAATAAAATCATCAATGATTGTCAAATAGTCTTGAGTTCAGATACTACCATCATTAAAATAAATATTTGTAAATAATTTTTGTTAGTTGACAAGGGTAGGCCTAACCTAGGTCCGCCCCTGTCCACAATGCATCGTTTTTTTAAATTTATGAACAAACAACACATGCATGGTTTTCTTGATATGACACAAACTATCACTCATTAAATCTCAAGTTTTTGTTGAGATTGTTGTGTTTTTTTCTTCTTCCAACTATGTCTCTACCTTTTTATGTGTGTTGCTTTTCCATACTAAAAACAAAGGGTACGTAAAAATGACATTTCACCAAAAAAGTCATATAATTTGATTAAACACTACAATAACTATCACAGAAACCAAACGATGTAAACTACAATACACCAATTTTCTTATATACATGTATATTATTATGCATACATTGATGACAACAATGCATCCATTTAACTATCATCAAAACCAAACGACTAGTATTTCGATAGGTTTTATTAATAAAAAAGAATTTAAAAAAATTTGGCTAATAAATAGTCATTACTCTTAAAAATAAATAGAAGTGTTTAATTTTGAGAATATATGGCAAATTAAGGTACAGGTAGGCCACGTCAGCCTTTGAATGCTTTCTGTAGCTCGGCGATTTGACTGCTGCTCTGGTCGCCCTTCTTTCTCTTCATTAATTATATGCTGCTGTTGTCTGTGGGATACAACTTTTGCAAAATTCTCTCTTCTTTGCTCTCTGCTGCTCTCTCGCCTGCTGTTGCTCATCATAGTCAATAGGGTACGTTGATAGGTCCACTCCAAACTGCAGCATAATGAGAAGCAGAATTCATTCCTTCTTTCCCACTGAACTGAATTTCTCTCTCTCTCTCTCTCTCTCTCTCTCTCTCTCTCTCTCTCTCTCTCTCTCTCTCTCTCTCTGTTACAAAGAAAGAAGAACGAGAAGAAAGAAAGAGATGCGGAGGGATGCTAGCTAGAAGATAATTAATTAAGTATACCCAAAACGATTCTCCCAAATCTCCCTCCCTAGCTAGCTATTTCAGATCATATTTATTGATGCTGTTGCTGCTGAAATGAGGTTACGAAATCGTGTGCTTGCTCTTCCTACTAATGACTTATTATGTGTTGTTTCCGTAGCAGATGATGTGATGTGTTTGTATCAAGGATTAAAAAATTGTACAGTACCGGTGGTATGTATGAACTGAAAAACATCTTATCGGAAGCAAAATCGATAGACAGTATTTAACGGTATGAAACGGTTGAACCACGGTTAAACCACTATTTTATAGTGTAAAATACCCAACCAATGACTTTATCGGTATGACCTCTGGTACGGTATTTTCAATCCGTTGTATCCATGCAAGTCCGGTTGAGGCCAGGGAGGGGCATGCACGGGATAAAAAAAATGCTTAAACAAGAGAATTATTATCAAAATGAATAGTGAATGATCATATATGGTAAAATGAGGTGAATTGCATGTTTGGTTAGGTATGGCCATATTAGACTCGTTGAATAATTTGGCTCAATTGTCATATGACTCATATTGAGTGTTTGGTGGGATCTAAATGGGTCTATGTACAATTTTAATGATTTAGGGTTTGGGTTGAGTTTGAATTGAATCCAACTTGTATCAAATAATGGGTTTGTTGAGGTTCACATAATTGTACACACAAAAAAAAAAATCATCATTACCTGTTTTCAACCAATCTACACATTTAATGTAGAGGTTTCCACCTTTCTGTTTGATTTCTAACAAAAGATTAGGGGGGAAATTGGATTAAAATGGATGTTCATTTTCTTTTAGGCACTCGACACTACAAGTCCAATTTAGAACCGGAGTAAAAAGGTGGATATAAGTGCCCCGATAGTAAAATTACCCTAATCTTATTTGTCTCGTAATAAATTGGGTTTGAGAAAAAACTAAAATATAGTCTTTTTAGCCCTACGAGTCCAATTAAGCAACTTTGTTCCTAACAACCCAATTAAAAATTTCAAACCACTAACCAAAAATTATAAAACCAAATATCCAATTTCCCAATGTACCATCTAATCAACCCTAGGACAAAAGACTGAAAATAGTTTTTTAAAATGTGTTCTTTGGCTTGCCCTGCCCTTTTTGGTTGTGAATTACCAGTTGCCGGGGGGTGGGGGAGTAGTCACCGTTGGATGTATAATTTCCCTGGTTTTTTTTTGTCTCTACTTGTTAGTATTTCGTTCGATATGATCATCTACTCTTGCATTGCATGGAGTCTTCGGGTCGTTTGGAAGTTGCGATTGTTAAATAGATGTATTGTTGGGAATGCAGGTATAATATTATACATGTATTGTCGAATTTGATGCATTGTAGAATACAATGTTTGATATGTGTGATTGTGTATGTCGCATCAGCTAAAAGCTGAAACAAAGCAATCTCAACTCAACTATCTCAACAATCACAACTAAAAGTTGAGATCTAACAATCACTCAAAATGAGTGATAGTTTCTGTCACATCACAGAAATAATCCATGTATTGTTCTGCTAAAAAACAAAAACAAAAACGATGCATTGTAAACAATACACGCATAATGACAATCTCAACCAAAACTATCGCAACTTCCAAACGACCCTGAATTCATTTCTTCCCCTGTCTATGGCAATGGTGGGACCGTTGCAGAGTTTGCGGGGGGAAGTTCTCCCCTTTCTCTCTCTAGTTCAAATTTCCCTGCTCTCTCTATTTTTTCAATCTCCCAGGGCTGCCGCCGGCACATCTTGGTGACCGGCGGTAGCCCAATCCTCCTTTTCATTTTCGCTTTTCTTTCTTGCTCTCCGTCCTCTTCCTCTGTGTTTTCATGTCTTTCCTTGCCATCTATGGCATTTTGCAGCCGTTGTGGCTTTTTCCGTTCCCGGAGTGGTTCTTTCCACATTCCTCTCTTTAGGAGGAGGATTTGTCCGGTTTCTTCACTAGATCTTCTAGATCTGGTTTGGCCCTGCTCTATTCTGGGTTCAGAGGATGCAAATTGGGTTTCTATCCAAGCTTGGTGTGGTCATCTTCTCCTCCTTTGGGGTGATTGCATTCACCGATTCCCCATCCGTCGTCGCTCCTCGATGCTTCGACTGACTGTGGGGGAAGCGGTGTCTCCTTCGATTGCTGAGGCGGGTGAACTTTGGTTGCAGATGTCATGAGATTCATGCAGGGTTTCGTCTGTTCCTCTTTTTATTTGTTGTTGGGAGTGTTGTTGGGGCTGCTTCTTTGGGTTCTGGGATTGGGTTTGTGTTGGGGTTCTCTGTTGGTGTTTGGTTTTGCAGGTGGTTTCTGTTCTCGGTTCTGCTTTTGTGTGGTTGTCTTTCAACCCTTGGGTGAATCTCGCACTTCTGTTTCTTGGCTCTCTTCGTCCCGGTCCCGTTGGCCTTGTTTTCAGCTCTGAGCAGCCCGTTCACAGTCCTTTCCACCGTCGTGCAATCCCTATTCGGCGATTCACTGTGATGGGTGTCTTTGAACAACCCCCAGCAGGCGGCATATGAATTAGCAATGCCCTTTTTCATGGTCAAGACTGGTTTGGGTGAGCTGAAGCTGCTGTGTTCCACTCTGGTTGATGTGATTACAAAGTTTTGATGATTCCTGTGTTTTGGCTCATGGAAGGATCCCTTGTTTCTGTTCTTGTTGTGTTTTCGCGACTGTGTTCTCTGGATGTTTGATGTTCTCTTCTGGTTGGTTTGGGTTTCTTTCTTGTTTGGGGTCTTTTCTTGAAGCTGGATTTCAGGGGGTTTCCTTTTCTTTGTAACCGTGTTCTTTCAAAGTGAAATACAAGCAACATCTTTGTCAAAAAAAAATATGGCAATGGTGGCATCATTGCTTTGGTTTGAAAGCTTTTGTTACCAAGTGTTGGATTTTATGTTCTTCCAAAGGATCAGAATTTTTATGGGGCCAGTGATGAATATATTTTGGAATCACATATGACTTCTTGCTATGAATGAGCTTTGTTCTTCTTCTTCTTCCTGTTCATTTTTCCTTTTCATTTATTGTCCCTCTTCTGATGCTGTACCCTCCATCTGCCTGCCTTCTGCATTTTTTGCCTAGCCTCAGTAGCCTGTGATGGGAATCATTCCGTTTCTGCAGGAATTCCCATCATTCCGTTCTCTTTTTTGCCCCCCTTCCACTCCTTTCTTGCATCAATTGCATAAACAACCCTCATCACCAAATGTTTAATTTTGAATAGATTATTACAGAAATTGGAATAACTAATGTAAGATCACTTTGTCTGTTTCACGGTTGTCAATCCGCGTGTTGACCTGCGGATTGACCTTCTTTGATCCGGGCCTGGTGAGGAAAATGAGCACCGCACCACACACATTCACGTACTTGTTTTTTTCTCTTCGCCTAAACTTATTTTTGAAATTCTTAGCTGAACATTTGAATATTAATTGATGTTATACGAGTGTGTTTGAATTTTTACTATATAATCGGTTCAAGTACGGACTGTTATTTTGATGTAATGTTATATGTTATTTTACCCATATGTTAAAATGATATTGATATAATTTATAAATATATCAACAATATAATGATTTTTTTTTCATATATCCGAGGTAAACCGGACTAAAGCGATTGAACTTTTAAGTTTCAACCCACTTGCTCAATCGAGCCGACGAGCTAAACCGGGTTGATGACCTTGGTTTGTTTTCCTCCATCCTTTTGTCCAAATTGTCCAGATCTGTATTTTGACTTTTCGAGAAATGTTGCATATGTTCTCTTCAGGGGTTGTCAATTTTAAGAAATCGGTAGAACTACTATCTTTAATGGTTTTCTGGCATTTACTATCTGAAAAAAATTCCATAATTTTAAAATAATTCACGAAACAACCTCATCCAAAAACCATCCCTAGCTAATTTATTTCGAATAAATGTGTAGATCGAATCATCAAATAGTAATTTGAGATCCCAAAGTATTATGGTCGGGCCGACTATTTCTGCTGCTCCGGCCAGCTGCATGCAGGAACGGAAAAATGACCTTATTTATTTATGGCCACTTTCCTATTCTTTTCATTCTGTGTTTTCTTATTTACGGAATTTTGTACATTTCATTCTGCATTAATCTTTTTACGTTATTTCGTTTATTTAGCAATTAGCATTGGATTTTGGCAATAAATAAATACACAGCAGCATGAGTGGAACGTACGTACATTCCAGTTTCAGCCTCATTGAATTACTGCATTGAAAGCAATGTATGGAGTAGTAGTAAGTATTGTTCACGAGAAAAAGACAAACACTGTAGTTATCATGCATGTTTCACGCTTCGTTCTTTATGCTCGTGCATATTTGCTACAAAAATGATGAGAATTACAGTATGAATCATTTAGTGGTTTGGTCAGTTGTTCGAGAGAAGAGATAAATAAGTGGTGTAAATCTCAAATAATAACGTGTTCTTCTCGTCGAGGGATTTCTATCCATGATGACTGATGAGTGAGATTAGAAATTGAAATGATTAGACAGAATTTTCTATTGAACTAATGGAATGTTGCTTTCTATCTCCATGCAATGTTGTAAAGGTGCAAAGTTTGAGATGAGGGCTGAAATTAATTTTTGTGAAAGATCTCTGCCAATTTGTGTGCATAATCAATACCATCCATGGTTGTTTGCTTGGTGTGTTTTTCAAATGTGGATATTTCTAAATTTGTAGATATTTTTCAATGTTATGATTCATTTATGACCTAGGAAAGTTATTTGGTGGATGAGTCATTTATGAATGATTCATTTTATTTCATGACAAATGAGTTATTTGACACCAAATGTCTAATACAAATAAACTCCATAAAGCGAATTATATTCGAAATCTTTAACCCAATAAAGCACTTAAAACATCTCCGTCCTAGCTTAGGAAAAAGATGTTTGGCCGAACGAACCCCTATCTCTTAATTGATCCGACCAGACGCTTGCTTTTTCCTGCGTGCTTATTCTCTTGATATTATTTATACAACTATAGATTTTGGGCCAATCAAGTATCACCGCCTGTCAAACTGTGTCAGGCAGGAGACAAAGAATATTCAGCCCATTCCTTTCCAATGATAACTAGACACGCGTTCCATATCCCCAGATTGATTCGAGTGGAGAGAAAAAAAATTGAAGTGAAAATTTTCTGGAGATATCCATTTTCCGAGAGCGACCAATAAGATATCGCGCCACAGTGGTATCTTGATACCACCGGGAACAGTAATATCAAATTCCCCCTTATCCGTCTCTTGATCCCTCATTCCACTAATCTGTTGTTACTGATTCATTCAAGGTTTTTTTAAACGCACTTCTTTGTCTTATTAGCGCAGGTGTTCGTCAACGATGAAAGCCGCTGAACTTAAGACTCGAGTTGAGAAAGAGGGCTAGGCTAGGCCCAGGAGAGGAGGGTTTTCCGGAGCTATAGCTCTTACCAACCCTTCCAGCCCTTACAAAATATCTAACTAATGGGCAATTCTATTTCGTCTTGATCTACAATCGTGGTTAGTGCGTGCTGAGCTAGAATTCTGATTTTCAACAAAGTGCCAACCTCTTGGTCCTAGAATCCAAAATGGTTAGTTCTCCTGCATAAAGGCTTTCTAATATTTAAGTGACCTCAGTCCTATCCCTAAGTAGCTCCGAGGGTTTCCTTTCCCTTGTTACCTTGTTGATATGGCTCTGACGCTCTGTGAGCTCCTGGGGAAAGGTTGCTTTTGAGGAAGCCATTTTCTTATATTCGAAGACTGCGTCTTAGGACTTCTTTTCCTCATAAATGAAATTCACGCTTCCAAGTACATAACTGTTTTATCATTTATGTAGTTATCATGATATTCTGAAGAAACGAATATAAAACTTTTACGGGTGATCGTAGTACTAATTGCTGGTTCCATGGGTTAATCTATGCCCTAATGCAGTAAACCATTTTTCTTTCGTGTGTGCGGTAAAAAAAAAATTTTACCGGCGTGGTGCACACATGACATCTCGTGATGTAGACAGAGATGAGGAATGTACAAATGTCAAAGCAAAAGAGGAGCAGACAGTTGGGCATTTCATTTTAAAATTGGCAGTCGAGAATTCTGCATTAATAGGGCGTTGCGTTATCACTTATTTGGCTATTGCATTGGACTAGCCAGCAGTCAGCCAAACCCAGAGGCAGAGGCAGAGGCAGAGGTAATCATTCTTCTTCGCTCTGGTCAATACCCAATGCTCCTCCAAATCTCGACAAATAACAAACAAAGTTGAAAACACCAGAAAAACAGCGGGTAAAAGAACAGGGGAGATTAGATAACCAGCGGACCAGAAAACCGGGGCAATTATCCATTTGGTCCCTTTACTTTACCTCCTTCCAACAAACGCACACTTTGTGTCGTCATTTTCTTACGAACACATACACATCCAATGACAAGTTGACACTTGTCCAGCAATGACCATTTTGATCAATTGAAATAGGAACGGTAAATGGTCCAAATCGGGATGATTACACTAGTTATTCATGGCAGATCGGGTCCAGATTTAAAATTTGAGACCGATCGAGAGTCCTTAATTGGTTCCATTTTGCTGTCATGTTAAGGATACTTGCTCTAAAATATGATTATATATAAATACAAGTAATTTGATTAAATATTATATATAGAGCTAAACATTATATATTGAGTTAGTCGGTAAATATCCTTGTTATAAGAACCGAACCGGATCAATGGCCGGGGCAGTAGAACCGTCAAACCAGTTACAATAGCGGTTCGGTTCATTGTTTGGATGGTTATTGATGGACCAAACGGTTTTTCACGGTTCAACATAAAATCACATGAACCACCACGGTTTAACTGGTCCACTGGTTCACTATTTTAACAAAAAAAAAATATATTTTTTAACTCAAACTAAGACCATCAAACCATAATTATTATTTATATAAAAAAAGACCATCAAACCATAATTATTAATTTATATATGTTTCCTCTTCTCATTTTCCAACCTTGTTATTGACAACTTGGCTGGCATTGTAAATTTTAATTTGAATTAAAAAAATATTGATTTCTTTTGTGTGAGATTTGAATGATTTATTATATATTTTGGTGCTGATATGAATTTGAAATTGTTTATGATCAATGATAACTTCATTTTTAAATTAGTGAAATTAATATACAAGTTTTATATGTTATATATCATGAACGGTTCTATCAACGGTTCACCAACGATTTTGTCACGGTTAACCACTAAACTCTAAACCACTAACTTTTCCGGTTCAATCTTCGGTCCGGTTCCGAAAACAGAGGTAAATATAATTATAAATATAAGTAACTGGTTCGTAATAGGGATGACAACTTTGCCCATACTCATGGGTTTCTTACTATTCAACCCAATTGGGTTGGGTATAAAATCCAAATAGATGGATATGGGTAGAGTTTGATGGGTTTGTACCCATACCCATTTACTTTGGGTTGAGTTGGGTTTATATCAAATGGATTTGGGTTTGTACCCATGCCCAAATACAAATTACAGTTTGGTACCCAAACTTAATAGATATGCATATTTAGTACCTAAATTTAATTTTTTTTGCATATAAGTCCTCAAAATATTGATGTAAAATTACGTTTTGGTACCTAAATTTTTTTGGTCTTACATTTTGGTACCTACACTTTTCAAGTTTTACAAATAGGTCCAATTTTTGCATGTGTAGTTAAAACACCCTCAAGTAAATGGATATCCATATCCAACCCATACCGATTTAGATTATGGAAGCAATATTCATACCTTACCCAAACCCATCTATAAACCCCCAAACCCATATACACTTCACCCATACCCAACTCATTATCAATAGGTCCACTTGGGTTTGGGTATAATTATCCATGGGTGGGTAATTTGCCATCCCTAGTTCGTAACTGTCTGTCATCCATATGATTTGATGTCCATTATGTGAATTGTAAATAATGACAGTGACCAATTCATAAAATAGCCTCACGTACAGGTAAGTGACCAATTAGCAGTAGGTTGACCACATAACAATAAATCAAGTATGCAATGGGGTGAGAGAAAAGTCCAAAAGCAGGTTTTCAGAAAGTGAGAGTGTAGAAGAAGAAGAAGAAGCAAAAGGGTGGTTTCAGTTTCAGAAGAAAGAGAGAGAGGCAGGGTGGGTTGAGAGAGGAGAATTTTACAGCTTCGGCAGTCCTCCTGTCTTTTCCCTTTTCTCCTCCTCGTGATCTCCCATTTCTCCTTTCCCCCCGCTTTTTTTCCCATTTACTTTCCTAGCCAGCGAGCGAGCAAGTAAAGAAAGAGCACATTGAAGAAGAGGGGAAAGCAAGAAATATTTTTTTTTTATGGGTAGTTCGTCGTGTGGAACCGGAGGAAGGAATGGAGGAGTGAGGCAGTACATAAGATCGAAGGTGCCTCGCCTCCGGTGGACTCCCGACCTTCACCACTGCTTCCTTCACGCCATCGACCGCCTCGGCGGCCACCACAGTTAATACCCACCTTCCTCCCTTTCTCTTCCTTTCTTTCACGTTTCTCTGGTTTCAGACTTTTTCATCATTGCTTTGGCTTTGCTATGTTGTTATGTCGTTTTGGTAAATACCAGAGGCGACGCCCAAACTGGTGCTTCAGTTGATGGATGTGAAGGGACTCACCATCTCCCATGTCAAGAGCCATCTCCAGGTTAACTTTTAATCCATTCCCCCTCCTCCAAAATTACACCCGTTTCTAAAGTTTCCATCTTTGTAATGGGTTTTTTTTCCTTCTTCTTCTGGTCACCAGATGTATAGAAGCATTAGGACTGAATCTGATCAGCTGCCTTTCACCACCAACTCACCAGTAGGAATGGAGGCCAGCAGTAATGGCGAAGACGAAGAAGGAGATGAAGATCAAGAGAAGGTGAAGGAAGGGAAAGAAACCAAAAGTGATCAATTTTACCAGTTTCTTCTTCTTCTCCCCACCCCCAAAAGGTCAGTTATTAATTGCTACTAGCTATTTTTTTCTCTCCCACACAACAACAGCAGAAAGAGACAAAATACAATCTATGCCCAACAATTTAAAAGAAAAGAAAAACACACACACACAAAAAAAGGATTTAACTTCAGGATAGACGATGCTGTAGTTTTGCAGTAGTAGGCATTACTATTCAATTCTCCTCCCCACCTTCATTCCTTTTGCATCCCCCCTTTTTTGAATTTTCACCCTCCTGCCTGTGTGTTTCCTTGGCAGCATTCCATTCTATTTCTGCTTCCATTCCCAGTGGTCAAACAGTGATTTCATTTTCACCATTAATGATTGCACTAATTATTATTATTATTTTTTTAACTGCAGGGTGAAAGTGGAGAGCTTGAACAGTAGTGGTGGGAAAGGGGGAGACCATGGGAGCATTGTTATGATGGATGGGGAAAGGATTAGGAAGAAGAGGAAGAGGTGGTCATCATGTAATCATCAGATTATTGAGTTCAACAACAAGAAGAAGAAGAAGGGAATCTTTTGTGGTACTGTTCCGTACGAATCCATTGATCTCATTAACCCCCACCATCATCATCATCATATCCACAGTGGAATCAACTCAAATCAGCAACAGTACCACAATGGAGGTGGTGGAGGAGGAGGAGGGTTCCGGTGTGGCCAAATGCAGCTCTCTCAATATGCTCCCACTAACGTGGTTGGATTTTCTGGTTCTACCCACCACCGGGGAGAATCTCATCTTCTCAAGGTAATATCTATTCAACTCTCTTGCATGGCTTACATTCTCTTTGGTATCTATTTATCCATTTACAACATGTGGCGAAATTCTGATTAAATGCTAATAAGGAGAATATAGTGTGAGGAAATGCATAGTATATAATACATAGTAGCAGTGCCGGATTTAGGAATTTTAAATAGGGGTGTCCTCTTAAAAAAAATTAAAATTAAATCAAATTATTAAATATGAAAATATTCAACTAGTAAAAGTTAGAATAAAAGTTCAAACATGTTTCGTATTATGAAAGAATGATAAAATACATTCGGTGTATACACTGCTCAACAAATCTCTAGTGACATATCCTAATAGACAAGGGTAGCCCGTAATTGAGTTTAATCGTTAGGTTCTGAAAATAATTGGGGATAAGAATAGCCTTTTACCTTTTACTATTATATTTTGATCTAAAACATAACTACAAATGAGTTGTAGTCTAATTGAAACTATATATTTACTAATAGTAGCAGTGTTCCCAAGTTCAAATCACATAGACCCTATCACTTAAATATTATTTGTACCCATATGCAGGATACTATAGAAGGTTGAATAATCATTTTTCATATTTTAAGGGTGTTCCACTGTCACTAATTTTTTTTACCCATACACAAACTACTATCGAAGGTTGGATAATCGTTTTTCCAAATTTTAGGGGTGTCCCGAAACCTCCATGTATCCATCCGCCCCTGCATTGTAGATTGATACCTTTTGAGGCGTGATCAAAGTTGAAGACGTTGCAGTTGAGAGAGGAAGCCTCCTTATTAGCTTAAATTACAATATTGTTCGTCACGAATAATATATTCAATGAGTGATTGTGTGTCATGATTATTTCATTCAATGAACCTAGGTATTATTTAGTTTATCTTGTTTTCGAATAAAGAAAAAGTTAGCAGTATACAATGGTAATTTACATTCTTACGAATATAGATACCCTTCAACTTTATTTCATAGTGTAAGTATTGAATCCCTAAAGTCAAACAAGGTGTAAGTAGGAAAGTAGGAAAATGGGTACGGGGTACCCCATCTTGTCGCTTATTGCGGTTCTTTTCAGGACCATTTTAGGCTGTGGGATCTCTGTAGGAAGCTGCTGGCTGTAGCTGTGTTGGTTGAGTGTAGTTTTGGGGTTGTTTTCTTTCAGCAGCTTTCGAAGACGACCCTTCTTTCTTTTCTTTTGCTTTTCCTCTTTCCACATCTCTTATTCAGGCATATTGACAGACTACTACTACTACTCGTAAGTAGGGCTGCAAACGAGCCGAGTCGAGTCGAGTTTTTCCTTAGCTTGAGCTCGGCTCGTTTATTAATTTTTCAGCTCGAGCTCGGCTTGAACTCGAATTTTGATAATCCAGCTCGAGCTCGAGCTCGGCTTGAATAAAAATAATCTAGCTCGAGCTCGACTCGGTAGAGCTCGATAAATGCTCATTAATATAGCTTGTTAAGCTGAGTACAAGCTCGGCTCAAGATGAGCTCGATTTAAAATCATTTTTGCTGGAAAAATGTATAAACATAAGAATTTAAATGATAGAAAGAACACTAGAAACTAGAAATAACATCTAAATTTCATACACATCTGTATTATAAGACAATGTTCATGTTTAAAAGAGTAATTCATCCTTCCACAAGCTCAAAACAAGGCAGCTCGCGAGCTTAGCTCGACAAGCAACCGAATCAAGCTAGCTCGCGAGCTTATCAAGCTGAGCATGGTCTAGCTCAGGCTTGGCTCGTTAACTAACGAGTTGGCTCGCGAGCCGGCTTGTTAAATAACGAGTCGAATGTCGAACGAGTTTTTTCCGATTCGAACGCCGAGTTGCTCGCGAGCGGCTTGACTCATTTGCAGCCCTACTCGTAAGTCGTAATAATGGTCTTGCTACTTCCATTATTCCATTCCCTGCTTCCTACATCAAGCCATGGAATATCTTTCTTTTCAGTTATCATCAAGTCAACTTTTTTTTCTTTTTCATTTTCTTTTTTGTACAGAACAAAAAATGACAGCATAAAAGCCATAGTTAGTAAATACTCCGTTTAATACACGTATATGTACCCGTACGTACTTTATGCGTTTAAAACTTCCGTATCCGTATTATTGTCAAGACGTTTCATTTTTTACCGTCATTTGATGGCTCCCGTACTAAACACGTATAAAACCCGTATAACACGTTTATTATCCATATTTTATGAATTAAATGGTTAACTTTAATATTATTTATATATTTATTTTTAAAATAATTAATTTTATATATTTATGACTATTAACGTACTATTAAACGTAACTTTAGCCTAAGGACAAAGTATAATACCCGTACGTATTTTATACGTAACTTTCTCGTACCGTATTTTACTAACTATGATAAAAGCTATCTCACCCACCTTCTCTTTTTTACCCTCAAGTCAAAAAATTTATTATTATGAAAGGACTGGTGATCGGTTTTGCTGAGACGGTAGATTTGGTTTCTGACCACCGTTAGTACCTTGTGTCTCATCACGTATTTATTTAAGTGGGACGGTAATCTCATCACTTCTCTTTTTGTTAAAGGGCTTTACCCCTTTTTTTTTTTTACTGTTTTGTTGTTTCCCAGAGAGTGTAGAGAGGAAAGTAGCGAGAATGTGAAGCTCTAGTAGAAGGAAGGAGATAGAGATATACAGAGTACTAGTTGCAGGGGCGGAGCTAGCATTTAGTGCTCGGGGGGCCGGATTTCATAATACATTACTGCAAAAGACTAAAAAAAATACTAATAATTAAAATATTTAGGTTTAAAAATCTATTTTTATACTAATTTTGTTTTATTATAACCATATAAAATATTTTTCACATTATATTTACTATAAATTAGAATAATAAAAAATAATATATTTCAAGAAGCAAAAGCGGTAATTAATTGATGTAAACTATAATTTAAAAAGGAAAATAAAAATTACAAAGTTAATGACTAAAGTATTTAATGCCCGCTTACTATAAAAGAAAAGGAAGGAGAAGTTGTAGTTTAGGTAAACTACCATAAAAGTAATTAACCTAGGGCGCTTACTATAAAAGAAAAAGAAGGAGAAGTTGTAGCTTAGGTAAACTACCATAAAAGTAATTAACCTAGGGGAAAGCTATAAACTACTTCCCTTTGGAATCGAACCCGAGACCTTTGGGTTATAAATAGTTCATCTTTCGCTGGGCTACAAGAAACTTTATGTCTTAACTTTGCACGGTTTATATTTTATATATAAATTATAGTTTGTACACACGATCCCGACTTATTTATACGTGACTTTCGAGATTCTCGGGGGGCCGGGGCCCCCCGAGACATGCTGTAGCTCCGCCCCTGACTAGTTGTACTTTTCTCTAGCATATTTGTTGACTTATGTCTCTTTATTCCTTTCGAAAAAGTGGGGTACTGTTATTAGGGCAATAGTATGATGACACTTTCTTGTTTCTTCTTTTACCCAAAACGCAGGGATACAAAAAGTAGAAAAGTGAAAGTAATAGTTACGGTGCTAATTGTACAATAGTTAGCACCATTCTAACCAATGGAAAAACTACTACTAGTTTGAATTAGTAGTGATTTAGCTTAGATGTTGTATTGATTTTATAATAATCCGTAGTGATTTTGTTATTTTTAGTAGCGTTTTTTGCTAATTATCACGGTGCTAACCTCTATAAGGGTTAGCACCTAATCCCATCCTAGTTAATTATAGTATCATTCTATTATATTGGTGATATCTTATCTTCCATAAATTATTAAAACTTTAAGGACCATTTCATTCTAAACTTAATACGAATCTTCTTTCTCCTATTTAATTATCGTCGTTACAGGTTATGAAAGTGGAGACCGCGGCCGAGCTAGCAAACGGAGTAGCCAGCTGGAAGTGCAAGCAACTGCCGAAGAAAGCTGTCGCCGGAGGAGCTGGTAGCGGTGACGAGAGAGCAGGGGCAGTTGGCCAATATTGTGACGGTAACGGCGGCAGTGGTCGGAATGGCTGCGAGTTGTCGTTGTCGCTTTCATTGCCCGGCGGAGGCAGTGAGGTTGACGGCGGTCTCTCTTTGAGCCTTACTACTTCAACGGATCATCATCAGATGGCGATAACGAGCATGTGCAACGATGCCTTCTCATCATCAGCAGCTTCTTCTTCTTCTTCATCTGCCGCTTTATCTTGTTCTTCCTCTTGCTCCAATCCTACCCCCAGCTTGGACCTTTCCATTGCTCTCTGTGGCACTTAATTAGGAGCACTTCTACTATGCTATATAGTATTGGTGCTTTAATGTACAACTTAAAATTGTATCATAACATTAAATGTATAAGTTTTGGTTGTACCATAAAGCAATTTGTACCATAAAGCAATTTGTACCATTATGTTATGGTACAACTTTACAACTTGAAGTTGTACCATCACATAAAGGTACAAGTCCAAGTTGTACCATAAAAGAATTTGTACAAAAAGTATAGGTACAATCTAAAGTTGTACTATAACGTAAATGCACAATTTTAAGTTGTACCATAAAGGCAAAATCCTATAACACCAATACTATATAGCATTATAAAATTTCTCCTTAATTAGATGTATGGCGTTGTTCTTAGTTTAGTTGTATTTTCTCGTTTTGTGCGACTGGGCTATTTGACAGGTACTGGGCCTTCCTCTCAAAGCAATTGAGCCCAATGCTTATGGGTTGCGGGCAATCATCATGGGGCCTACCGTGTTTCTACCAATAAGGAATTTTAGGTGGAAGACCTACTGGTTTGGCCTTGTATTTTTATTTGTGCTTGCCCTTTCATGGGAGGCCAGGTACTACCACCAAGTGCAAATAATTAATGTTTGGCATGTAGAATCTACTCGAATTTTTTTTCTTCCAAGACTTCTGTTTTCTGGTTGCTATATTTTTAATTTAATTATGGAGATCAGATGTGTTCTAGATTTGATATTTATAATATTGAATTTATATTTTTTTTAAGAATCGATTACAAATTGAACTGGATGTTCTGTGGTTGGAATAAAATAATTAATCTTGAACTTAAAAATAACAATACCATGAATTGTTGAATGAGATAATTTTGGTGGTTGGTAATAATTCCATTCTAGTGCTCGCCTTAGCCCCCGTGAGCTGTTGGATCGGTTACTTGAAATTTACAAAATTAAACTTATTAGAGGTTATCAAAGTTTTTTTTTATATGAATGTATCTAGATTATTCATTTATGTACGTGTTAGGATGTTGTTTCTGGTCATCTCTATGTTAGGTGGTATGGTCTATGCATAATTGAGGTTACAATGCAGCAAGGATAATTAGGAGCTCGATCTGAGACATTGGTAACGTATTTGGACCTCAAAGGGATTTGAAAACAGTCCATCTCACATTCTGGAAGCTCCAATCTAAATGCCATGAGATGTAGAGAGTTAGATCGTGAGTTTGTAAAATGAAAAAGAAAAAAAAAAGAATGAAATCTCAACCGTTGAAGTGATTGAATTTCTACATATCGCGGACAAACCTTGACACTGACCTAAACAGCATCCAAAACACTGATATCTTGTAGTGTATTGGACATAAAATGCAGGTCATTTGGATGCATCATTTTGATTCTGTGGTGTTTGGAATCAAAATGATGCATTATTATGGTCAGCGGCGGATCAGGACAGTAAGGGTGGGCATTCGGTCGGTTCGATTCAAATCGAACCGAATAGACAATTACCGACTCCTCGAATCAGATTATGGTCCCAACCGAATTCAAACCGAATTATATTTAGGTTCGGTTCGGTTTTAAGCTCTAGACCCGAACTTCTATAATAACAACACCTCACTCCTACTTTCCCCTTTTCCCATTTGGAAATTGAAATTTCCGTCAGATCCATCTCTCTCTCTCTCTCCATAGCCAACAAAAGCAGTCGACACAAAGCTCTCCTAAGCGGCGATAGAGATCTTTGGCACAATGAAAATCGACGGCAGGCATCAACGATGGCGATGACTCCGACAACGAATGTGAGAGGTTAGTGTGCTGATTTTTCCAAGCATGCATGGTATTGTTTTGTTCGATTTTCTACGGCAACGAATGTGAGAGGTTAGTGTGCTGATTTTTCCAAGCATGCATGATATTTTTTGGTTCGATTTTCTCCTTCAAGCTTCATTAACTTCGTCCCTGTTTCTGATTCAGGAGGAGAAGAAAGTTTCAAGATCTGGGATTGAAAGACTGACAGAAACACAGAGCAGGATGCTCGTGTTGGCGATGGTGCTTCCGCTAGTGGATCTGATGCAGGTAAAACGATGTCCGGGCGACGCCAGATGGAGCCATAGTGGCAGTCGCCTGGGAGTGAGGCGGTGAATCTAAGTCGGCGGCGCAATGGGATTGGTTGGGAGGCAGATCGGGGATGGAGTAAATTAGGGTTGGGCTGTGATAGTGAGTGCGTTGATAGATCGTATAATTAGACGGGTTGACGGGTTGGGCTTAGGGTTATAGGGGGACTGGGCTGGGGTCTCGGGAGAGTGGTGGGCTTTAGGTTGGGTGTGGATTGGGTTTCGGTTTGTTGGTTTGGGTTTCGGAATTTCGGGTTCGGTGATGACTACCCTGGGTTCCGAAATATCCATTTTTGATTTTCGAATTCCGAACATAACACTGGTAATTCGGTTTGGGTTCGGTTTTAAGTCGTTTTGGTTCGGCTCGGTTCGGGTTTACCGAACCGGATGCCCACCCCTACAGGATAGGGTAGAGCACTGTGCCACATTTGAAAAAAAAGGCGGAGAGGGGTGAGACATAACCTGAAAAACACTAAAATGAATACCAAAAATCGGAAATTACATGTGCTATACTAGCTCGAGATCCAGAGGAGGGTTGGGCCATGGCCCGGGGCGGCGGCTCAAGATAGGGTGCATAACTATGAGTTCCCAAATCTGGACCCTTCTTTTAAGTGGCTGCAACCTGCAGATCTAAAGGTGGAGAATTAAAGGAATTTATTTTCCCTAGTTTTCTTGATTGGATCATATCTTCTTCATTCTAACTCGGATTTCAACTTTTTTTTTTTTTGCATAGATGGAACGAGTTCGTTGTGCTCTACAAAATGATATCCATTTTCAATATTTTTTTAGAATTTTTTTTTCATACCTTTCGTTACCAACTCTATACCATATGGTATATCCTTCATTTTTAGACGTTTTTTAAAATTTTTGCACAGAAGGAACGATTTAAGCATAATCTATTGAATTTCAAAATTTTCTGGGTGAAAAATTTTCATAACTCTCGTTATCAACTCCATTCCATACTATACCACTATGGTATGGGGTGGTATTTTTCATACCATATGGTATACTCTTATTTAATACCATTCAATATCATAGTCAATACCATATGATATAGATTGGTAACAACTGACAAATTTTTTTTGTTTCAAAAAATATTAAAGTGGATATCATTTTGAAGAGCACAATTAATCTGATCTAACTGTACAAAAAAATTTAAATTCCGACTTAAAATGAGTGAGAAATCGTCCATTAAAGATTAAGGGAAGGAAAATTAAAAGTTTTTCTAGAAGAGAGAAGGAGGCGCTGATGTGGCGAATTCTGATTGGGTTATAGCACCACAAGGTTACTGAACGAATCTGCTCTCCGGGACGGCCCCCTAGATTCGCCGTTGATTATGGTATGTGGCATATTCATGAGGTATTTCAGTTTGAAATGTTGCAATTGAGTCTAACTGTCTTGTTTTTTTGGATAAAATATTCGCAAGTTATGGTATTTCGCCACTTAAAAAATGGAGGTATGAGTTAATTGAAATGTATAGGTGTGAGTTAATTGATTTTAGCGTATAATTCAGTATTCGGAGATTTCGGTATTGTTATACCGATATTGTACCGATTTGGCGATTTTCCACCCGAGAATGGAAAAAGTAACTACATGAATGATATATAATAGGGAGAGCTGTTTACTAAGGTTAGTGGGAGACGATACAGTTGTTCTTCATTTGCAATTTGAACTTGATTCAGCATGATGAGTTGGTTAAAACAAATGAGAGGAGCTCTCTCCTCTCTCCTGGAAGTCTGCTGCCTCATCGGCCGCATTCTCTACACTGCAATCACGGTGGTGCTGGAAGTGGCCATTGCTAATCAAAACAAGGAGAATGGACCCCTGACTGCGCAAAGCGCATCTGGAGTGTGTAAGGGCAACCCCGTCGAGCAGGATCCTCGTCTTGCGAAGGTCCTCGATCCATCAGCTACTTGCGTGGCGGTGATCAGCAGAAAAAGACGACAAGCTGCCGCTGATCTGACCTCATGCGTCCCCGTCGTTAAGCGACGACGTCGACCAATATTGTGGAAGTTTCACCTGCCGTCGGCAGAGGAATTAGGTAAAAGTGAGAAAGAGGAAGATATACCCCTCACCCAAACAGTACCATGCAAACCGCGTTTCTCGCGTAATTGGGATATGAGTGATCCTGGGACGCCGGTGCCGATTGTGCTTAGATCCCGTTATGGGGCGAGTGGAATCAGGGAAACTGGTGGGAATAATACGCCGGACACTGCACCCCCTTCCTTCCCGGTGGTTGACCTTTGGCCGCCGACAGTCTTATCTTGGAACCATCTCAACAAAACTAGAAGGAATGTCCCCCTGCAGTCAGAATTGAATATGGATAGGGGCGTAACACCTAAAACCAGCACCCATTCGGTGTTCTGTAAAAAATCCTTTTTTGCTGTAGCTGCGGTGGGCTCACCTGTATCGGTAAAGCTTAGACCCCGAGATGGGGCGAGCTGGAACAGTAAGAGATGTGGTGACGGACCGCCTGAACCTATGGCCGTTCCTGGGCCGGCTGTGACTCTCCGGCAGCGTACGAGGGAATTAAAATTACCTGCCCGACCCGTTGGGCTCCAACGGCCAGGTTGTTTCGGGAGATCGCCTTCGATTTGGTGCATCAGCACCGAGATTTCCTTGGATCGGACTCGTACGGCACCAGGATTTCAAAAGATTTAGTTTGACTGGTGGAGAAAAAGACTCCCCGCTGTAGAGTCCCAGACCTTCTAAATCTGTGGCTCAACAAGGACTCCCAAGGATGTGAGCACCTTATAAAAGTAAGCCCTAGGCGTGGTACCTCAAGCACTATTAGCTTTGGCTATCCACGACAAGAGGCAAAAAGAAGAGGTGCCCATCCCCGAGCTCACGATTCTTACTCTTGTACGTGGGAAACTGAGCTTGCTCTTGTGTTCATTACTCTTTTGGAAAACTCCACCGTTTACTTCAAAATCTCCTGCTCCTTGGCTCGATTCCCTTGGTCCGGCCTGGTTCCACCCATCCGCTTCATCTCCTCATTTGATTTACGTGACCTGCCTTCTTTGCAGCTCGTTACGATGGCGCGGATCACCAAAGACCAGATTGTGGAATTTTCCTTGGCGGATGTTCAGCTGGAGAAAGTGCGCCAGGAGTGTTCCTTGCTCGGCCGCCTGTTCACGGATCAACTCTTCTCTCCCCTTGAGGTGCGTGATCTGGTGAACAACCCATGGCAGGGACGTGGCCGGATTCGGGTACGTGCGGCTGCCCACAGCCTCTTCGAGTTCATACTGCCAAGTAAGACAGCAAAGGCCTGGATCCTCAAGCAATCTCCATGGATTCTTGGGGACAAAATTCTGCACCTTCGTCCCGGGACTCCGGCAGTGAGTCGTCGAACTTTCGACGAGCTCGCTCTAGTCCCCTTCCGTGTGAAAATGTGGGACGTTTAGGCTGAGTGCTGTACCCAGCTTTTTGGCCGCAAGGTCGCGGCAGCCATGCTTGGCAAAGTCCTCGAAGCTAGCTTGTATTCTTGTTCAGAATCCGACCAGCGCTTTATAAAAGTGAAGACCTTGCTGGATTTTTCCAAACCTCTTTGCTCTCAGATTTGGGCGGCTAACGAGGAAATGGGAAGCTTCTGGATTAGGGTCAAATACGAGCATTTGCCGAGCTTTTGCTACCATTGTGGGCGGGTGGGGCACTCCCGCCAAGCGTGCACGTTTCCCCCGCCATCCGGGAAAGAACGCTTCGGGCCTCAAATGTCGACTAAAAAGATGGGTAGACAAATCTTTGAAGATGAGGAGCAGCCCCCTCAATTCCCGGTGTGATCGGTTTGGGTTAATCAAGAGGTTCGGAAGAATTTGGGGGGTACCCAATACCCTACTCGTGACCGCAAGGAGGTAGAACGGTGAGAAGAGGACTTGGACAAGAGACCTGTAGCTGACATCAGTCCACTCTGGATGGGCTCGTCTACTAATCCATTTATGGAAACCGAACCACCAGTGCGGCAGGGACGTAGTCCGTTCCGAGTGCCAATTGCTAAAGCCCCGAAACTTCATCTCCGGGCTAAGGGTCGTAGAAACCAGCCATCGGTGAACATTGCTCCTAGGCAGGCTGGGAGACGCCATCTGGGGAAAGTAGGAAGTGGAAAGAGCAGGGTTATGGGTGGTCAACACGAGGCTCTCGCAGAGACTCGAGTGGACAAGCCCAAAGAGAGGTCGCATGCTGCTCGGCGGGTATCTCCCACCCTTGCTCCCCAACGTATGGACCAGTCCCGTCGTCGGCGCCTCATCCTGGAGGAAGAGTCCGAGGACGAGTTCGTGGTGCAGAAGGTTCCCTCGGAGACAGCTGCAAACTAGACTCTCCCGGGTTCTCGAAATTCTAGCCGGGCTGTGAAAAATCCAAAGGCGCAGGAGGGCGGGAGTTTATACGGAGACAGGGTGGGGAATCAGAGGCTGGAGAAGGCCCCTTGCCCGTCCGCACCAGTCGTTGCAACACGTCCTCGCCGGGGCAGGCGCTTGACAAATGGGCGCGTCCACACTCCGAGGATGCAGGGGGAGTAGGACGTGAATGTGGATGACATGGGGGTGACCAAGCCTGCCTCCACTACGGATGCTTCCTTACCAAGCCCATTTGACTCAGATGAGACACTATCCGAAGAGGATCACGTGTCCTTCGAAATAAAACGTCGGGTGCCTGGAGGCCACCCTCCGCCGGAGGAAAATCAAGCTGGTCGAGTGCAAAAGGTGGTCCAGGCCTTTGAGAACGGGCTGGTCATGAATGGATCTCCGGCCAAGAAGTGGGTGCGAAGGGCTTGATCCCTGGAAGTGAACAAGCAGCCTACCTTGGATGGCGGGGAGGATGGACAATTGGATATTGATGTTTATGGCTCTAACTTTAATAGCTCCACCTTCGGGGGAGTTAAACGTTCGTTGGAGATGATTGATGATGCCACTGTGGCCTCACCCAACCCAAAAAAGCAATTTGTGGAAGAAATTGATGAAGTTGAAAAGGTGGAGGAAGCCAGCCTCGAATGGCCCCAGTCGGTTAAATGAGGCTTCTCGCCTGGAATGTGAGAGAAATTGGGCCATCTATCACATTCCAAACGGCTGTAGGGTTAGTTCATTCTAATAAACCGGATCTCGTGTTCTTTTCGGAGACTCGATCGAGCCAGCGAGTAGTTTCCCGTCGCATGCGGGGGTTAGGGTTTGATCTTTCTTGTTGCTTTTTTGTTGATGCGATTGAGGCATCTGGTGGGTTAGTAGTAGCTTGGGCCTCCGAGGTTGACGCCTCGGTTTTTTACCATTCCAACTTTTGTATTTGCACTCAAGTTAATGATATTGATTTCTCCTACGTGGTGGTTTCCGTTTACATCAGTTGTAATCTTGCTATCCGTACCGCTCAATTGGAGAAACTTCGAGAAATTTGTGCTAGCATTAGCCATCCTTATGTTGTCATTGGAGACTTTAACACTACTCTGCATGAGGGAGAGAAGGATGGCGGATTGCCGTGGAATGCGACTCGGTCCCTGAGCCTTCGGGCCTTTGTTCAGGACCTGGGACTCCATGATCCGGGCTACCAGTGAGATCAATTCACCTGGACGAATAGACGTATGGGGGCGGCCTGCATCCGTGAGCGGTTGGATCGAGCTCTGTGCTCTCACCCTTGGATTGACCGCTTCCCGGACACCGTGGTTAAGCATTTCACGGACCAAGGCTCTGACCATCGGGCCCTGCTTCTTTCTGATAAGACTTACACCCGCAATAGCCGGCCCCTCTTCCGATTTGATGCTCGGTGGGCCGATAATCCTGAGGTTCGTGCTATGGTTAATTATGTCTGGAAGGAGGAGGTACAGGGAACCCCAATGTTCCGCCTGTGAGAACGCCTCAAACGGCTTCGGCATCTGCTCTATAATTGGAGTAGGGCGGGGACTACTAACTCCTTGCGGAACATTAAAACCCTTCAGGCAGAAATAGACCGGGTAAAATTGATCCATCCGATTGACTGGGATGAAGTGAGAAATCTGGAAGTGGAGCTTAATCGTCAGTGTGAGGCAGAGGAGATCTATTGGCAGCAAAAATCCAGGGTCCGTTGGCTGAAGAAGGGAGACCAAAACTCCTCCTATTTCCATACGGTTACTCGGGCCAGACGTAAGCGTAATTTCGTTGCTGGCCTCCGTAGTGACAATGGTGACTGGGTCACTGAGGAAATAGGGAAAGAGGAGATTGCCACTAATTTTTACCAATCTCTCTTTACGTCAGAGACTCATGTATGGAATATGGATGAGCGGATAGATAATCTCCCTGTTCCTCAGAATGTTGCCCCTGAAATGAACACAGCCTTGACGGCTGCGGTCCTTCCTTGTGAATTGCGGAATACTGTGTTTTCCATGGGGTCTAAGCAAGCCCCGGGCTCAGACGGATTTACGGGCAAATTCTTTAAGGCGTTCTGGGATATAGTAGGGGAGTCTGTAATTGCGGCAGTCTGCTCCTTTTTTTAGACTGGACGGATGCTTAAGAGCTTTAACCATACTTGGCTCACATTGATTCCTAAGGTGGACAATGTGGAAACCATGCGGCAATTACGTCCAATCAGCCTATGCGAATTTGTTTACAAAATTATTACGAAGATTATGGCTGAGAGACTGGCAAGCATCCTTCCTCGAATCATCTCAGAGGGCCAAAACGCTTTTATCCGTGATCGACAGATAATTGATAACATCCTCCTTGGACATGAGTTAATGCACTATTTGAAAATCAAAACTCGGGGTAAGAAAGGGTACATGGCTCTAAAGGTTGACATGGAAAAGGCCTATGATAGAGTCGAATAGCCCTTTCTGCTCGTAGTTATGAATAAGATGGGTTTTAACTCAGTCTGGCAGGGATGGATTCTTGAGTGCCTCCGGTCCTCTTCCTTCTCTGTGCTTATGAATGGATCCCCTGCGGGGTACTTCACGCCTTCTAGGGGTCTGAGGCAGGGAGATCCGTTGTCACCTCTGCTTTTTGTGATTTGCACTGAGGGTTTCACGGCTCTTCTCCGGAAGGCTATTACAGAAAAGAAGCTTCAGGGTGTCAAGGTGGCTCCTCGGGCCCCTAGAATTTCTCACTTATTCTTTGTGGATGATTCCTACCCGTTTCTTCGGGGGAACCTTCAGGAATGTGAGAATCTGATTGAGGTGTTGAATGAGTATGAAGATTTGAGCGGCCAGCAAGTGAATCTGGAAAAGTCAGCTGTTTGCTTCAGTAAGAACATTGTACTGGCTGACCAAGAATTTCTGGCTACGATTTTGGGGGTGGGGGCGGTGGGAGTTCATGATAAATACCTCGGGTTGCCCACCCTATTTGCTAGGTCCAAAATGGATACATTCAGGTATTTGGAGGAGAAGTTGTTAGCTAAGCTTCAGGGCTGGAAGCAAAAAACGCTTTCCTAGGCGGCAAAGGAGACTCTTATTAAGTCTGTTGCTTTGGCTTTGCCCCTGCATGTAATGTCGTGCTTTAAGTTACCACTCTCGCTTTGTCGTCTTTTGGACAAACATGTGGCGCGGTTCTGGTGGGGGGAGGCTGAGGGTCACCTGAAAATTCGTTGGGTCTCCTGGCGGAATATGTGTAGGAGTAAACATGATGGGGGGATGGGATTCCTTAGGTTTGAGCAGTTTAATCAGGCTCTCTTAGCCAAAATTGGCTGGCGAATCTTGACGGAGCCCCAATCCCTCCTGGCCCAAGTGTACAAAGGAAAGTACTTCCCCAATGGGTTCTTCCTTACCGCTGCGGCTCGTTCCCGTCCGTCTTGGGGGTGGCAGAGCATCCTGTTTGGGCGCCAGTTATTGGA